CTTCTCGACGTCTCCTTCTCCCTCCCGTTGACTCTCTTCCGGTTCTCCCCGACGCCGCTTTCCAAGTTTCTAGGACGCTACCGATAAGAACTGATAAAAGCCGACAAAAACTACCGAAACAACTATCGCTCCCATTCAAGATCCTCGGTATTGGCTCCTTTTGGGTGGACGTCGGGCAATCGCCGCTTTAATTCCTCCTCGTAGATGGTAATTAACTATTCCTACGAGGAGGGTTCCCTCGTCTCGTGTTTCGAGGAGGCCAATAGGCCCCTCTAGGGTGCAGGTTTCCCTGGTAATTTTTCCTCCGGGACTCCGGGTGCCCGTCCCTCCCGAGGGGACCTCGGCGTCGGCGTCCTGTGTAGTCGGATAGAGGGCGGAGCGTCGCGGTGCGCGGCGTCGGGTGTAAAGCAAATTGTCAATGCCGTCATTGTGCCTTCTACAGGGGCAGAAATCCATGCAGGGAGCCGCCAATGGCGAGGGCGCACTTCGGCACCACCCTTCGCCCAAACTTCATAATACTTCTGCTTGCCTATCGGCGCCTCCACCCATGACAGACTCCATTGACACCATCGGACACCATCGCTAACGCTAGCCCGGCACAATTGGGCATACGATTTCCAGGATGAACGCGAAGAAGAGATTCCGTCGAATCTCTCGATACCTTTCAACGCTCATCTTGAACCATAATGGTTTCACCCCTTTCCTTGGAACCACGTACTGTTCCTCGAGGTCGCCGTCCTTTGCCATGGACATGGTTATCCTGCACCTTGAATACAGAAACATTTATATGCGACAAGAAATAAGTAAATATTTATAAATAAAAAATGGTTTCACCCCTTTCCTTTGACCCACGTACTGTTCCTCATATCTCACCTCAACAATAAGTATAGATATTAATAATTAAAAAATGGCTATATAACTTTCATCTACAAAAACAGATATTTATATATGTCGTTTAGATATCTATGACAGATATAGTGTAGCCATGTACATAAAATAGATCTATATATTTACAAAAGACATTTATTTTAAATGGATGAAAAACGATATACGTTTGCTAGACTTATTGACGTCATTTATACGAGTAATGTACGGATATTGTACTGTAATTGAATTATAACCAGACAAGGAGGACAATTTTTTAACATGAACTGTTACTGTTTAGATTCTCTTTCATGTGCATATTTTGATCCTCGTGTTTATAATAACATGTTAAATAAAAACAGTTTGCCCCCAAGTTACTCGAACTCGGGTGAATATATTTTCAATTCGATCATAATGAATTTGACGCTGCGTTAGCATCTCCTGATTTGAAAATGAACCGCTGCCCCAGTCGAGATTATAATCGAATATTATAAATTAATTCCCGTCAAGAGTGATCATTCTGACATATGGATTCTGGGGAAAATCGACAGGGCCGACTCCGTACCCTGAGGAGGGAATTCCGAGGTACACCCGAGAGAAATTCCTCTCATGATCGAGAATTAGGACTTTACGACTCGAAGCTATGACTCCCGTCACGGGTGTCGATCACTCTTAATCTCGGCATTGACCAGTCCTTACGATTCCCGCCGACTGGGAAATTTCGAGTCCGACCCGCCGTTGGTGGCGAGGCATTGTTCCTCTTCCCCCGGGATGCAGGAAGCTGGCACCTCTCCTGGCATCCGGCGGAGCGCTCTTGCTTGCTCTCGCGTTTAACCGTGACGCAATGAAGATTACTAATTTACAGCCTAGGGCCCCTTGGAAGCCTCGTCCTTTCGGCGCCCCAGGGCCCCCTTTATACGAGGCTGCCATGGGCGTTGCTCGGACGTCCTGGTGGGCAAGAAGGCGTCCCGGAGATGGAAACAGATCACCGATTATTTCCAAACGGTGCACCTAGTCCTTCCATACGGATCCTTTAAGACGCGTTGATCGTCGCTGGTACCAGGCTGCCTTCTCGTGAAATTACCAGGAACCCCTTCTAGAAACCACGAAACTCTTCCTCCTTGTTTTTGCGCTCCATCCCTGACGTGGTCACCGTATGTAGAGCCGCGATATTTGCGCTTGTTATTACAGGCGGCGTGGAAGCTGTTCTCGATCTGGTTGCATTCTCCGACCGCGAGGCTGACCGTCTCTGGGTCGATCTCAGGCATCTGGGGACCCAGGACGTAAAAATCCCGGCGACAAACAAAAGCCCTCGCAAACGGCGGGCCCCAGCCTCGACAATGGCTGGCATGTTTTTCAATATTTAGCCATCATGACTTTTCGACGGGCCTTTCGGCCGAAATCTCCGCGTCGAATTGGAAACGAGATAATTCAATTAGGCGACAGCTGCTCTTGCTGACGCGCAGGTAGAGCGCGAGCGGACGCTTTCAAGATGAGCAGGCCCACGAAGAAGAGGGCGGCCGTGGAGAACCCACCCTCGTCATGGACCGCAAACTCTGATGTGTTCATTTCCACCTTGGGACTCCTCTCGGGTGGCCCGTACCCACGATTTCCTGCCCATTTTTTACGCTCCCTGCGAGCCGCATCGTTGGACGACGCTGTCAAGTCCCTGCATAAAAATAGCGAAACTATATGTCTATACTTGATTAATATGTTTAATAAAATAATGCAAAGTATGGGTTCATTTCCACCTTGACCCTCCTCTCGAGTGGATCGTACCCACGATTTCCTGCTCATTTTTTACGCTCCTTGCGAGCCGCACCGTTGGGGGACGCTGCCAAGTCCCTGCCTAAAATCAATGGAAATATTTATCTATAATGGATTAATGCATTTAATAAAATAACGTCTGAACGCGAACGATTCTCCGAAGCGTGACTTTCGAGTCAATTCTCGGTTTATAGGTGCCGTTAACCCGTGAGTCTCCCTTGGACGAGACGACTCGGGAACCATTAGCGTCCACCCGACAAAGGCTGCCATCCGCCCCTACGTGTTGTGGAAATAGAGAATCGGCAAACTCCTCGTCGCATTGGACTCCAGGGAGTAGTCGACTCGTCACGTCGCCATTCGGCGACATTGTTTCCGCGGGTTAAAGTGCATTAATCTCGTTTCTTCGCCGCTCCCTGCGCCGGGACCACAATGGCCGCCACCACGCCCCGACGCGGCACCGATCTAAGCGGGTCTCTTCCAACCGGAGAACCAATGGCCAATGCAAATTACCTTCCCGGGGAATATCTTAGAGACGTGGAAAGTCCCTGCCGAGAATGGCCGTCAAGAACAGCGGCAAACTCGAACTCCTAAACGCCGGAATTTCCCCTGTTAACACATTCGCCACCGTGAGATGAAAGTGCGAGAAGTGAGCGCTCTCGTCAAAACTACGTAATAAACGCCCATGAGTCGAGATAACTCGATCTCGAGTCGAGGTAAGAATGAAGTCGTCGAGGCCGATTATGCACGCAATAAATAGATTATCGGCGGACCCGCCCCCGCGGCGAGTGACGAATTTCTTGAATGCGAAGCGAAATTTGCCATGGGCCCCGAAGAAGGGGACCAGGAAAGGCGACGCTTTCGGCACGGGGGCGCGCCTTTCTTCCCGTCACGGCAAATCGGGGAAATTAGTGGCATCTGGCCCAGGGCCTTGCACGCACGCCGCCGTTTTTCGAGAAAATCCGTCAAAGAGTACGCCGGGGCGGGGCTCCTGGGAATGTTTTTCCGAAAGGCACCCCGAAAATCCCGGGACCCCGATTCTAGGCGAACTCGGTTTACAAATATTTTCCCGGGCTCGCCCTCGATCTCTGATGAATGTTCTTCCGGTTCCCCGCTATCGAATGTTTTGATAGTCAAATTCAAGAGAACTATGTCCAAAAGAATTACATTTTCGTCCGGAACATAGTTATCTCTGTGAAGATTAAAAGTCACCCTCGACGGATGTAAATAAAAATGGAAAATTAGAAAAGCGTTAAGGTGTTATGAAAATCTTTTATATATATGTGTATCGAAACGTCGAAATATTTATAAAGCTTTTCTTCAAACCGAGTACACCGAATAACTCGAAACTTTACCACGTGATTACGGAGGTCCTAACGAAGGTCTTGAAAATCGAGAAATGTCATGTATCGAATTCAGGAACGAAAAAAAATGTTTTTTTCAGAATTGATATTTCCTGAGTTTCGAGACCTTCGTTAGGACCTCCAAAATCACGAGTTAAAGTTACAAATTATTTTATGCACCCAGTTTGGAGAAAAGTTGTATAAATATTTTCACGTTTTGATACATATAGAATGATCCTTTCATATCACCTTAAGGGTTGTTCGCCGACGTCTGAGTACCGAGAATATCGTCCGCTCATTTTGCCCGAAATTCGAGCGCAAAATGGCCCCAGGTCGGACCTTTTTCAAAAAGTCGAGGAACGAAGGACAACCCGGAAGAAGGACGCACGTCGCATCGTTAAGAAGGTAAATCACGGCCTTGGGAAGAGAATCCTGTGAGAGACGATCATTGAAAAGAAGACCGATGTCCCGCGATGCTTCGTAATTGTTTTATGGCCACCATAAATCCGGCGGATCCTGTAGGAGGCGAGTCCTGCTCCATGGGATGTCCTCAAAGTTCTGGATCTCCAGGAATCCGAGAATTCTTCTCACGTAATCGAAGCCGGAACGTCCCAGCCGCCATTTTGAGATCTCCTGCTTGTCGAGAATATTCAAAGAAATTATCTATCCTTGTAATTACCGACGGGCTATTCCCTTATAAATCAGGGAAAACGATTCCTTTCTTTGATAGCGATTGCCTTTAATTTCATATGACAGACAACAATGCAATTCGGTAACAGGTGACGGCCTTAAAATTGTGACAATGTTCGATGATTTCTGCTTACGATGTCCAGCTGACTTCCACATGATTTCAATCGTTAAAATCCACGATTTCCTGAGTATTACCCCCTCGGTAATTGCTGTACAATTAATAATCACGCTTTACGCTATTAAAATTATTCAGAATATTGGTGGACATTTAGTACATATGGTTGCAGTAGAAGCAATTTATAATTTGGCGACATCATGTTATAACAGTCAAATTTCATATAAATTTCTTGCAAATGTATGATAAACTTAGTATACCATGTCCGAATACAATTTCCAAGAAAAGTCTTATAAAATCATAATACTTTTTTGTTAACAGTGTACAACCATGCCATTAAATGAAACTTTTGTTCCTAAAGAGAAGTCGACTTTTTCCCTCGCTTTAAAAAAATCTTTCCCGGGTTTCTCGGCAGAATAGGTAAAGTAATGTCCTGTCGTGTGGCCTTTGGCTTAACGAAGCGTCATTTCGGAGTGCCGAGACGAGTTTCATGGACGGAGGAGGCGCGAGCCCCATGAATCTTTCCGGACGACGGTCGCGTGGTGTTTATTGCGTCTTGCTTTCCCCAAGAATACGTTTACAGGCGCCCACCGCCGCCCGTAAACTAATAAACGCATTAACTAAGCCCGGCAAAGCGTTTCGTCAACAAACCATAACCTATCACAATGCGCGAGGCGTTTAAAAGGGCCCATCGCCTTGAAAATGGCGGCGCTGATTTACTGCTCGTTCGGTACTTGACTTCGTCCATTTCTGCTCCAAAATGACGATCAATGACAATCCCTGACGAACCTTGACGAGTCCTTCGTCCTGCAGCCCGCTGGCACGCGAGGACACGCATCGAGCTCTCCGGCCCCGCGAATATAATATAGAAAGCCTTTACTAAAAAGAACCTTTGCGCGACAATAAAAGATTTCTCAAAATAAAACGTGTCATTTCCGGAATGCCTTCCTTAAGGCGAAAGTAAGCCTGCGGTTCCTCGAATTTCTAGTCGTAAAATGTTGGATGGAACACGCCCCCCGGATCGTTCAAGGACTCCAGAAGTATAAACGGCGATCCTTCGAAATTTTTTCCTCGATTTTTTCCTTCCGGTTTACAGAAAACTGCTAAATGGAACATCGTTGCCAGACGAGAGGGAGGAGTCAGCGGGTCGTTCGAGGTTTCGCGAAAACCACCGCAAAAAGTCTCGGTTTCCCCGGATTTCCTCCCGCTACGTTTATGAGGCTTCACGCGATTTCGAGAAACTGCGAGATGTCGGAAATCGGGTCAGTAAACGGGGAGAAAGTCGAAACGGAGGAGTCCCTGTAGGACGCCACTCGGGGACCAATATGGCCGCGGATGGTTAGCCGGGAACTTATTTTTAAGGTCCGAGGGTCTTCGAGAGGCCGGGGTGAGCGATTCCTAGACCGGGAGAAGCACCCTCACGGCTCGCTCGTGCTCCGGACAATGCCGTCATATTGTGAAAATATTGATTACAATTCGCCGACAATGGAGACAATGCCGGCGACTCCGCTGTCGCGGCGACATTCAAAAAAGCGCTTCTCGAGGGCGCACTTCTTCCACGTTTCACCTCATGGAAATATTCCAGGAACAAAGAATACATGCAGTATCTGCTTTCCTCATCGTTCTTGCAACATTTTCCCGTATTTACATAAATGCATGGATACACGTCGTATAGTGATTTACGGAGGATCATACGTCATCGATGTTTAACTATGATAAAGGTGTGCAGACATTCGGCTTAACCGACATATGTGTCGCGTGTCGAAGACTCCTCACATGCGACAGCTCGACTCTGCTCCCTCTCGTAATTAGTCGGACTAAATGCCTGCACACTTTACACGATCGCCGGCACCTCTCCCCTATGTTCGCCACAAAAAACATAGCCATTACTAACGACGTAAGCAGCTGCCACGGAAGCGACTCGCGCCTTCCAGGCAGCGACCCTAAACATGTTGAGTCTCTTCCATCCACGACTCCACGTGTCAAATCTTTAGAAAAAGAAAAATATCTTTCGATACCATATAAATAAGGCAACATATCACAATTTCGTTCATAGCTCAAAAACGCAGAAAAACAATCCAATCACGGTGACCTGATTTAATTTGACATTACTCATTCAAGAGGTTCAGAAAACGACACTTTCTGTCCAGTTTGACGCGCCAGGGTAAACATCGCAGATAATGACTAGGTCAGTGTTTTGCGCCTCAATTTTCCAAGATTTCGCGACAGGAAATTCTTAAAACGATCAGCTAGATCCAGAGATGCACTTTGGAGGACGGGTTAGGATTCGAAGTTCAGTATCCCGTGCTTATTATCCTTGCCAAAGAGCGAAGCCATTTCTAAAGACAAGCACAGGTGTTGTGAGACCCCAAGACACGTATCCCCGAAGCGTGCTGCGTTCCTCTGCTCTTGTAAATGCGGCTTGATCCAGGAAGTCCTTCGTCAAAGACCCGCCCCACGTCCTTCGGTTTTCCTGCGTTCCACGCAAGCCGTGCACGGATAACAAGCCTGGAAATAAAAAGTCCCGGATTGATATTCGCCGGTATCGAGTTGACGTTGAAATAACTCGTTTACTACGTACGCGACCACCATGATGCTCTTTTAGCGAGTGAAGCTCGCCTTCTTACGTAATTTCATGCTACAAGTGCATGCCCTTATTTAATCCTTAAGAGCTTGAATTCCATAATGACGCCATGTTGGATCGCATCGATGACTTCGGTCGTTTCAAAAAATATCAGCTCTTGCCCATATTGCTCTTTCAGTGGATGAAGCTTGATCCCTCTGGCATAATTTCGCGCTACAAGTATATGCCCTCGTTCAATCCTTAAGAACTAGGATTCACTTAACGACGCCATGTTGGATCGCATCGATGACTTCGGTCGTTTAGAAAAATATCAGCCGACGCTGCCTTTGCGTCTCGTCCTCCATAGCAGGTGTCCCTCCGTTATCGGACCTGCAAAAAGGATTTCGATTAGTCGAAGCTCGGCAGCACCGCGTTAGCATTTGAATGGTCGGCGTGTCGCGTTTCTTTTCCGCGTCTGTCCGTTCGGACGCGTCAGCGGATCTGAGGTGCACGTACACAAGGATTCCCGAAGGAGCGAGGCGGAAGCCGCTCCTCGAGGAGTCCCTCGGCTTATTGCGGAGCACGGAGCGAGCTGGCGGCCTATCTGCTCGATCTCTCGAGAGTGAAAAATATTTAAATGCCGCTCCGCAACGCGTGCAATTTTTTTCCTTTTTCTCTCTCTTTTCCCTCCTCGCTCCTCGCCCCGGCATTAGCTAGGGTGAACTCGCTCCGAGATCCCAGAGCTCGCGTTACCCTGGCTTAAGACGTTACACCAGATCCGACCTGTCGATAGTCGGCTCTAATCTATAGGAAGACTCCTCTCGAGGGACCTTTAACGAGGAATAATTCCAGAAGGACGTATTGTTTTAAGGCGGACTCCACTCCGGGGGCGTCCTCGACCTCCTTGCCTTGACGACCACGTAAACGCGGCCCTACGATTGCGAATTACCCCGAGACTCTTCACCACGATACAAATGTCTACCGAATGTCCTGGAGAGCACGTTTCCGACAGATCCGGCAGAATCTCTAGATTTCTATATTTAAACGAACGTAATTCGTTCAGGGCGATTCGTCGTCCCTTAAGGTGTCATGAAATAGATTCTAAGTCTATCAAAGCGTCGAAATGTTTATCAAACTCTTCTCCAAACTGGGCGCAGCGAATCTCTTGAAACTTTAACACGTGGAAAAAGATTAATTTTTCTTGGTTCTTGTCCGAGATAAATACGACATTCTTCATCGAAACATGAAATTACGTAAGTTTCAGGACCTTTGTTAGGACCTCCCCAATCAGGTGTTAAAGATTCAAATGATGCCCGCAGTTTGGAGAAAAGCTTAATATTTTCACGTTTTGATGTGTATATATAATAAGTTTAACAATACCTTAAAACGACCATTTTTATTCGTTGCAGCCGTTACTTGCTCTCAGACGACGCATCGTTATCGAGGATACTCGTCGATTCATAATCCCAGATTATGAACTATTTGGTTCCCCGTGCTCTGTTCCAAAGAGCAGCGATCTCGAGTCGGCGAATTACGCGTTTGCGATTCTCTCGAATCAGCGAGCCATTACGAAAACGGCCAACCTCTTCTCCGCCCCGATGTCGAAAACAAAACGCCTCCGGATCGCGAAATGCCCCTCAATCGAACTCGTATATTCGACCGGACCGTGTTCACGAGAGGGAACACCCGGTCGAGCGTAATCGGCGACCCCGTTGTTTGCGGTCACTCTTCAGCTCCTCGACAAAGAAGCGCCCTGGTGCCGATATGCCGATCGTTTCTCCCGGAGTTGGTGCCCCCTTTTGTGTTTGCTCTCTCTCCTTGGAAAACGTGGGACCATTGTTTTTTCTCTCTCCCACTCCCTCTCCTCCGTCTCCTCGATTGGACCATGATCCTCGGAATGGGCTAAAAACACACGTACACCTCAATTTCTAGGCAAAATATCTTGAAAAACGATCAACTTTGACATGCAATCACTTCCAGGCGACGTTTCTCCCGAAGTAAAGTCCACTTAACCGAGGTCAGGTCGAGACGTCTACCCGACAGCCGATCTTTGTACATTGTTCGTATACACGAATGGTAGGCGGTTTTCGTTAAGTGACTATGTCGCTCTTATCTTATCACCGACGATTGCGGGTCCGCGTTTATATTCCAAGCCCGAAGGCAAGAGTGCCCGTTCAGTTCCTAGCTTTCGCGTGTTCGGCATGTCGAGCTTGCGTTTTTCCATTCAGGAACAAGTACTGGGAAGTACCGCGTAGATAGGGCCTTCGATATAGGCCCGCCATTACCCTCCACCAGGCTTCATGAAGTGAACGTCCCTCTGGCACCATGAGCGAAGAGGATCTCTGGATTCGCGACCTGGTGACGACGTATGGAGCGGTCTTGGTATTCGTCTCCTCCGTGATCTTTTATTTCTCTTGGAGATGGCCAAAACTGCGAGGGGCCATTCTCCGAGCCCATCTCCAGGGCTTCGAGACGGAGTGCGCGGAGCTGATGACCCCGTACAAGAAGCAGCTCTTCAAGGACCTCGACGAGATCACCTCCAAGGACGAAATCCTGCGCTCTCTGGGCCGCATTCGGATCCTTGAGATTGGCGTTAAAATGGGTTAGGATCACATTGTACGTATTCGTTAAACTAGTCGCACTACGGTCGAGGATGGCATTTTCTATCTGGGGTATCCTTTCCCGTAGGCGACAACATCCGGTACTACCCTAACGAGGCCCACCTGATATGCGTCGACTGGAATCGCAAGCTGAGTGAATACCTCGTCAGTGATAAGAAATCCTGGCAGTTCGGCAAAGTCGTCCTCGAGCGTCTGATAATCGGCGATGGTACTTCCCTGAAAGACGTCACTTCCGGCTGCGTCGACGTAGTCGTCACCTGCAGGTCTCTTTGCTCGACGAGCTCCTTGCCGCAGACCCTGCGAGAAATTCGGCGCATCCTGGCCAGGGTAAACAAATAAAGTCTCTTTCCTAGACCTGGAAAAGTCATGCCAATAAACCCTGATGAACTCTTCTAGGCGTTTTCGGGAACGGTTCATCCGAGATATCGATTAACCTGTCCGATAAGAAGCTCATCCGTCGAGTTACTCACCCTTTGCCAAGCAGGTGGCATCCCAGTCGACGTTAAGTGATCTTTCATCCTCGAGATGTCCGATTAACGGTTAATATTTCGCCTGCCGTTGCAGGGCTAACCCTTTCGTTACGAGCGCCGACTATAGTCGGTAACAAATTCTGCCATATCTGTGGAGTATCATTCGATTCTATCGACCCGTATTGGATTAATCATCCTAAAAGTACATTTTGAACATACGTAACACATTTTGGCCATCGAGACGAGACGAGAGGACCGGCTATTACACTTATGAAATTAATCGTTATTATTTTAATTATGGTAGAAACAAACTGAATTGATCTCACCTTTTTGCGATCGTAGGAATCAACTAATGTATTCGACAAAAGTAATTGATTTCATTGCTTTCTCTGACGAATGATGGAACGATACCATTTTCGTACAAATTTATTCCTACATTATTTATTTTTGTCGTGCGACCTTCAATCTATGAACCAGTTTCTTAATTGGCATAACTTTTAATTTCTTAAAAGTTTAAGATTAGACTTTTATTTCGGAATTTAATAACGGAATAATACGGCAAAACAATTATTATTTAACACTTAGAAAAGTGTACGTACAGAAGGAAGTTAAGAAGGATGCGCACTTTCGGCGCTGTGCCGCGTTTAATTAAATAACTGTCTTTAGTTGAGCAGATTACCGTAACGAAAGGGTTAAGTCGTACAAGTGTTGTTAGAAATACATTTTCGTTTTATTCGCATACAAACGTATAAAAGCCGAGTTCTGGAAGATCCAGCGACGGTACATGATAGCCGCGCCATCTTGCGGAGGCGCTGGGAACTCTTTAGCGTTTTGAATACTTTTAGGCGCTAATTCGTAATTACATCCTGAACCTGTCGCTACGTTAGAGTTAAAAATATACATTTCGATTGATTAACTGAGACCAATAGCGTAATAAGGTGCAGTACATGTATTTCTGGTTTCAGGGGGGCAAGTACTACTTCTTGGAACACGTTCCGGACAATAAGGACGCGATCGTGAGGTGGCTCCAGACGATCCTCTCGAAAACCCGCATTTGGCCTTTCTTATTCGGAGACTGTCGCCTCGACGTAAATCCAATCGACGCGATCGAGAAATCGGGATTTAAGGACGTAACATGGAAGCGTATAGTTTTGGATGGATGCGTGTCCCATAACGTGCACTTCGCTCTTTCGCGCCACCACGTTATCGGGACGGCTGTTAGATAAAACGAGAACATCGGAAATCTTAACGCGTTAAGGATTTATTTCACCAGAAAAGAAATATTAATCCTAAGATCATAATTTATTGGACGAGAAAATATCTATACAATACTTTCAGTGGTCCAATAGAGATATAAAAATAGTAGTAGTAGTTTCTAATCCTACTAGTTATTTATTCCTGATTAAAGTTATTCGCGTATAGCATAAAGAAAAGAAAAACGTGTAAAGTAACAGTACTGGTCTCCATGCAATTTCAATGGGTGTTTAATACCCAAAGACAAAACTTAAATGTAATTAAATGACAGCCGATCACTCAAGCGGGATTAATAAAGGCCAATTTTCCAAACACTCTTCGCGTAATATTACTATTCATTCGTCAGTTATCGAATTCGCGAACTTTTCAAAGAGATCATCTGGAATCTGACTATATCTGGAAGGGTCAATAATCCGCTGTATTTCACGTAAACACGTTATTTACAAAATATTTGGAATATATTTTACACCTATGTACAACAGACACAATGAATGCGAGTGCTGATTGCAATGTCAAAAAGGATTCTCCTAAAGATCTATGCTCGCATCACTACACTTCATTAATCTTAAGAGTAAAAGTCATTCAGGATGTAATAGTAGTTCCCTTTACAAAAACCATAATTGAAAGGTAATCTTCGAAAATAATAATTAAAAAAAAATTGAACAATACTCAAACCTAATTTATCGTTGAATATATCGCGTATGATGGGCAGTATTCTGATCAAATCTTTGCCAGGAAAACCGTGGAAGATCATTTCTAATTCTATACTTAAATGTACCGAACTACCTGATCAAAGCGATATTTGTTGATAAACAAAATAGATAAGAGTGTTGGAAAATTACCTTTCAGTCTTGGATCTTGACAAACTGACAGTCAATTACTAGCCTCATGCCACATCTACTTTTTAAGTGCTTATTGAATTTCCTTATGTTTCATCGTCATTCTCTAAAGCTACAAATGTATTATTGGAAATACTATTAATCGTGTAGTCACACGTGTGCATACAGAAATTAGTAATCAGCATAACTCAGTTCCTCACGATGTAACATACTTAATTTCTTTAAATAACACCACCTCTATTTATTAACGTTCCAGGTTAAACACATTTCCCTTGTTCTTATCACGACTTGTCTTAGTAGAAATATTTTCAATGGAGTTTGGAACTTGGATGAGGTCGTTGCGTGAAAGTAAGAATATACAGAATGAAATGTCACAACTAAAAACAATATGTCCAACGTTGCTATAGGGATACTTTCATGGGATATGTATTTCTATCCAAATCAATAGTAACATTGAAATGGACACTGCACGATACATACTCAGCTGAATATTTCACTTTTACGCAACCACTGGTTATCGATATTTTACTTTTACACGGCAACCACATCCCAATGCTACTTGTTATTCCGTTTTGTGACAAATGCATTTTTCTCGCGTTTTTCAAGGAAAATATGTTACTCGGTTAACCACAATTCGAGATATTTCGTTTTAAATGTCGTTGATTCTACGTCCGAAGATTTCTTGTCGTTCAACGCACTTTTCCTTTCGGACATATCATCCATATCGGTTTCAGATTTATTCGAAAAAGGAGTTGTCCTTGGATTAAGTTTAAGAACTATTACAGCCTCGTCTAAACTGTCATCGAGAGCCTTTAACACATCTGTGGCTGATGTGTTGGAACTTTCAGTATTGACCGTATGCGTAGAGGCTATATTAGGAATCTCTAGAATGCTATCTTCATCGGAAGATGACTCTAGTAGGTGAAGTTCTTCTTTATTTCTTCGTTGTTTCTTCTGAGATCTTGTAGATCGGATTTTTCGGCGTTTACCGTTGGAATTGTTCCTTTTGTCAATTTTGTTCCATGTGTCAGTTGTTCGTTCTGGTATCTTGTTTTGAAGAGGTGTTGAATTATCTTGCTTGGATTCAGACGGTATCTCATTCTTGATTTTATGTGTCAATCCACCCCTACTCTCGTCACTAGACAAATATATAGTATCACTCAGAGAACCCTTTGAATAAACCTTCTTACTCTTGGCATTCATGGCAATGCTTTCAGTTAAACTAGACTTTAGATCAAAAGTATTTTGTTGGATATCGATGCCTGTGTCTGCATCAGGTTCAGAATCAGAGAGTTTCAAAGGATCCTTTAAAGAAGAATAAGATGATTCTTCTTTCATATGTTCGTCATCTGATGGTATCTTTGCAAATAATGATTCACTTTGATTCGATTTCAATGATTTACTTCGTCCTGAAATCTGAGACATAGAACGATTGTTCGGACTGACAGTACTTGGGAAGATTACTGAATTTGAACTCTTATCACTTCTCGGGGAACTGATGGTACTTGCACTTTTATATGATGACATCTTTTGACCCAAAGATTTTCTTGTCAATAGAATAGGTGATAATCTGTCATTTTCTAAATTACTTGAGTGACAATCGTTATTTACTTCACGAACCACATTCATTTCATACTTGTTTTTACTTGAAGTGCTACTTTTTGACTGTGCCGACGAACTTTGTAAAATTCTTTTGTTACTTGATATAGATGTCCGATCCATTCCCTCTTGAATCTTACTTCTCGTTTGATCCTTTGCAGAAATATTCAATGACGATTCTGAAAACTTCTTTGGCCAGCAACTTTTCACAAATTCCGTAAAACTGTCTTCCTCATCTGAGAATGTAAGAATGTCGTTGGATGCTGCCACAGTCCTTGTATGTTCTGGTGTCACATTAAATTCTGATCGGGTTCCAAGTGTTATCGGCATCACATCCTTTGGCAATAAATTTTCTACAGTTGATAAATGTTTAAACGACCGAGAATTTGAACTTTCAAATGTGTTCCGCAACGATTTACTCTTTCCAATTTTACCACTCCGATTTAATCGTGAAACATCAGAAGACAAATGCCTCGGAGAAGTAGAATTATCTTCCAGAGATTCCGATTTTGATTGGGATCGTGAAGGATTGCTTCGAGTAAAATTCCCCTCATCTGCCAACGTTTTCGGAGATAACGAATCATCCAAACCATCTTTTGAATTCAGGAGTTCAACAGATATAGAACCACTCACCTCTGAATTTCCTTTACTCTTTTCCAAATATCTATCGCACACTGACTTAGGCAGTCTCTTCAACAAAAGCACAGGCTCCAACTTTTGTAGTAATGCATATTCTAATGTTTTCTTCTTTCCGCGCTTAGTCGTTTCCCTTTTTTTCATACTACCCGTGAACAAAATTATGCTATCCGAACTGTCTGTACATGTAGACATTGCATCGCATCGTAGTGAATGTTTAGAGGTATCATCATTTTTACATTCACAAATAAGGATTGTGCTTTGATCGCTGTCTACTGTATCTAGGTCTATATTTTGAATTTCACAAGAAAACACCATATTCTTAGAACTGTTCAAGTGACTCACAGGGTTTAAATCAGAAATATTGTTGCTTAAAAATTCACTAGGGCATGCACTGTTTTGCTCTGGGACTGACAATTTCACCTCAGCTTCATTTGTAATCATTTCAATGGTATCAGTCTTATCGTTACATTTATCGGAAACGTCCGAGTGATGTTCAGGCAAACGTTCTATTAATACGACCGGATTCAGATCGACGCCAAGATTTGAATAACATTTCAGCATTGCTGCTATTTTTCTCTGACTCGTTCTTCGATGAGATTTACGACTATCCAGTTTACTACCTTTTCTTCGTTTGGGAGTTTTCTTCTTAGTGGAGGCAATGGTTTGATTTCCCTTTGCAAAAGAATTTTCTCCATCCATCATAAATTCCATAGCTTGCATATCTAATATTGGTGCGCGTCTACTGTTTTTAGTAATAGGAACCTCAGTATTTATCTCTTCAACTGGCCTAAGATCTAAAGAATTGAAGAAATCATTCATAGAAACCTGTTCATTATTACGTACTTTGATATCATTACAACTTTTTTTACTGCAATCCTGTAAGTCACTTCCATTAGTTGTAGTCATTACGAAAGAGTTTTGTTTCAATTTAATTTTTGATCGACGTTGTAATTTATATTTACTGGGCCTCTTTTTTTTCTTAGGTGTAGCATATGGACTGTCTAATGCAGGATGAATACCACGTTTAATTGTCTTGGATTTTCTGCCACTGCCACCATTTGCTATGAGAAGATCTGTAGGAGATTCTCGACCAGTAAATAATTTCCTGCGTAATGTGACCTTTGGTACAACTTCATATGCATTCAAATCATTACATGTAGCTTGTGTATCAGATCCTTCTTTTCCATGCTTACTTGCATTGGAGGTGTGCGTGTTATTGGAACTTTGACCATTTGTTTGCAAACTATTAATTGCCTGCATACTGCGTCTGTTCTTTGATACGCTCATTATTAATGATTCATCCGAATCCTCAATTTCATGCGATTCTTGATTTAAGGTCAATGTTATGTTATGTGAATCTTCTACATTGACCACTGTTTCAGTAACATTGTTTTTTACTTCCGTATTACACACTGATACCGGTAAAGCTATTTCACATGACTTCACGTTGTCACTTTCACTCTTCTTAAGGGCAGAGTTAGAATCAAAATCAATCACATTGTTATTCTTAGTGGTGATGTCATCATTTGTCAAATGTCTTGGTAACCGTTCTTGAATTAATTCCTGCTTGATATTATCCTTCGTTCGAACGTTTACCGAGTTCTTAGCACCCTCTACAATCGCGATAGCATCTGCTTTCTTTGTAGTATTTGCATTCGACAAAATATAAGCGGCTGTATCAACGGAACTACACGACGAACCACCAGCACCTTTGGCTTTCTCAGTGTCCTTCTCCAGAACAAGAGACCGAGGTAGAGTCAGAACTTCGCACTCACTGAGAGACGATCCCGAACTTGACAGGTCTTCGCTCTTGATTATTGCGGTACATGGTGCCAATCCAGTGTCCACCCAATATTGCACAAGTGCAGGGTGCTTCCGCATAGGCACTCGGTCCTCTGGTAGATAGATTTCGCAGTCATTTACTTCAGGCTCTAAATTACTGAGATTTAATTCAAAATCGTCAGATACCTGAAACAACACGGTTTAAATTAATTTCTTTGGGAGGGGAATATCAACATGATCCAATCAAAGACAATAGGAAAATGACAGTAACATAACCGTCGAAACTGATAAAGATGAATTCACTCCAGTGTTAAACATTTTTATTATTATATTGCATTCATTTTATGATTTTCTTTAAAAAAAATGTAAACTGCATTTATTATATTGAGATTAAATTAAAATGATTAAAATATGGAACGATCCATCCTGGGTTCGTAAGTACTAGCAATATTTTCTAGCTAAAGAACATCAGGAAAATAATATCTCGTCGACATTTTGTCTGTCATTTTATTTTTAAATCTTAAGTTTCCTTTCACAACGTAGGTGACAAAAATTTCATGAAAGAGTCGTAATACTTTCTCAAAATAATTTTGACGAAAAAGAAGGACTGCAAGTGTCTTTTCCTTAATTGGCAATATCTGACATATATGCTCACTTGTTCAGAGTACTTATCAAACAGGCTATCCCATGACTTCTCGCGTTCCTCTAAAATCTCTTTGGGTACATGGAACCCGAATGCACCATCCTTGTTACCTGTGATCCTGTACATAAATTATTTACTCTATAAAAGCCAAAGAAAGAGAGACGTCAAACTCAAAAGTTGACGCCAAAGTCATAACAAGGATGAGTAACATTTAACGATTCGATATACAATATTTACAGGCTTCAGCCGGTGCAGCGTTAATGCCAGACCAGGTTACCCAAATCCATCTGTTGTTAGCAGACATTCTCTATGTATAATAACCTTTAGAAAACATTTGGCGCGTGATTTTTACCTCTCTATGCCTTGCAGGTATGACTCCGAAAGGGGATCTCTATCGAGACCACTGACTTCCTTATCCTCGTCCATAGCATTTCTCCAAAACGGCACATCGGGCAGTGGCAGACTTACCTTAAAAACACACGTACAAATAGTTTAAAACATCGTTGAAAAACTAAACCGGCCGAGACATAAAAATACATGATAGCGACCTAAATTGGCAATGACGTCGAAAATCGTCAAGGAAGGTGTTTAGGCTGATCGATGCTAGCATACGCAGCATATTCCAGTATTCGTTAGCGGCCTGACGCTTCACGTACCTATCTCGGATGCCTTTGGAACTTGATGTTTTACGTGACTATTTTCTTCCTTGACGCTTACGAGCTCGTTTCATGTTCACTGATACCGAGTCTGATCAGAGATGAGTGGAAAATTGCTCACGGGCATGGTCGCGCGATCAGTCCTGTGCTGCTCCTCGGTGGAGGATGTGGACGGCTAATGCACTTGCCACCTGATATCCCCAATGGCGGCTCCATTCGGGGATCCTCCTCCTCTCTACTACCAACTCATCTCTGTGATAACAAACATCATTTAACATCTTTTAAAATCTTTTAACATCTCTTACCAACAAGTCCAGCAAGATCAGCGGCGATGAACCCATAACGACTTGAAAAAATAAGAGATTTAAAAGAGATGAGTTGCGCCGGCACTGAGGGGTAACAGGTGGCAAGTACATACGTTTGCCACCCGCACTAATCACCAGAGGGCAGTACGTCATATGATCGTACGATCATACGATCATACGTCAAAAATGTCTAATACATGGTTTGTTTAATAAATTTCAAAATTGGTTACCCGAGCGGCCATTCGCGAATCGATGCTTCTCTTGCATTTCCCGTGAAAGTGACGAGAAAGAGGCAACCGAGGGGTCGGTTGATAAGGAAATTTTTCACAAAACTAGGTGTACCTAATCGTTTGAAATTTTATAACGTGAGTATAAAGACCCTAAAAAACGGTTCCATAGACATGAAATTCCGTTATTATAAAGAACTTCCGAAATTGAAATATACAAAGGTGTGATAAGGAACTGCGCATGCGCATGCCGGGGTCGGGGACCCTATATAAGGCCGAGCGCACGATCGGAGCATCATTACCCTTTGGTCTTCCGAAGGGTAAACATTGGGTTACCTGCTTGTTCCGTAACTGGTTTAACCCCAGGTTTAACCCCAGTTTTAACCTACGGTTAAACTTATCGGTTAACCCCAGTTTTAACCTACGGTTAAACCTATCGGTTAACCCCAGTTTTAACCTGCGGTTAAACCTAACGGTTAACCCCAGTTTTAACCTACGGTGAAACCTAACGGTTAAAAATCAAACTTCGGCTAACTTGAGTTGTGAAACCGGGCCTTATGGGAAACATCCCCCCTCCCTCCCGTTCCCTTTCTTAATATATTTAACTTAATTTATTACGTTTGTAAAGGGCTTCGGTGCGCAGCAACCTCCACGTGGTGAGCCTGGGGGATCGGTGGTTTCCAACTATTGTTCGAAACCACCGGTTCGCGAATAGCTGCGCGAGTGGTTCCACTTAGCGTGTTTTTGTTTTTTGTATGACAGTAGCTTAACGTAGTTAAAAGTGGGAGCACTCATTGCGTGCGTGCGTGATTGTAAATTGCGGACAGGACGTTGTCGGGTACCTTTCCATGCAGCTAGTAATTTCGGATTTGCGTGCTAACCGAAGTAGATTTTTGCAGGTACGGCATTGCCGTACTTTTAGTGTATCCCGCAGCTTCCGTCGGCACCTAGTACGTCGTAGCTAAGCTACGGCGTGCAAGGCTACCTGGCTCAGGTTGTCGGCTGCGCGATGCGTTGTTTCGCTTTGGCGGCATCCCGCGGGGGCTCTGCCTGCTGTAAGCCGGGACAAGCTCGTCGAGTGAAACTCGTATTCGCGGGCCGACAGCCGAGCCGGGTTAGTCGTCGGTGACGATGGAAGCTGCTGGATTGCTCGCGTTAGAAGTAGTATGCCCTTCCGGCAAATTATATCCGTATTTCGATGCCAACTGGCAATATACTCGGCGACTTACCCTGTACTCTGCGGCGAGCGTTGTATGGACGGATGCGTATGGTATGCGAGTGGTGTGCTGTATGGGTTATGAAATCCTGATTCTGTGAGTTCCTGGGACGCCGGGAACTCAACGGAACCAGGTGCCTATGCTTAGGCGGGTCCCAATCGCAGCGGCCTCCTCGTGGCGGGACCTGGGGGATCGGTACCATCCTTATGGGATGACACCGATCCGCGAACTAGCTGTGAAATAGAATTTAATTAAGGTAAAATTTCATTTTCTCGTAAAATAAATAAGGTAAGTGAAGAGTAAAGTCAAAGCGGGTGCCACGAATGTTCTTCCCTTACCATCAAAAGCGAGCAGTGTCGGGAAGCGTAGGTAAGCCACCACCGTCAACTGCCGCATGGTATTGACATCACGAGTACATGAGCCGTCAACGGCTACTGGTAGATGGTATCGTCGTCGCGAGTGCGCGAGCCCCTATCAGAAATTCATTGCGCCGCCCTTGGGGGCAAAAAATGGTGAAAACTGACGTACGAAACCAGAGGGCAGCACAGGATGCGATTGCACGACCCTGCCCGTGAGCAATCTCCCAACTCATCTCTGCTCATCTCCGGTATAAGCAGGTATAAGTTACATAAAGTCTATACAGAGGGCAAACCCGGATCATGGTTCGCTAACCTTTCCGTGGACAACTTCTACAGGTTTAAAAGGATCCATGGTCGGGCGTCCATGTGTTCTTACGTCCATGGTCCAAGACAGTTAGGTTAAGTCGTAGCTAGAGTGAGAGGATTTCAATGCTTTTTAAAATCAAACTAAATTTCTGGTCATTTTGAAAAATGGGACGTCATAAAAAGGTAATTTTTAGTTTGATTTCATGACCTGCGAGAAGCAGTCTAAAAAATCCATTTCCTCTGAATCATAATGTTTCCGATGTGTTGAACTTATTTGATACATTTTCAATTAAATTTTGTAGGGCCGTTGCGTAAAACGCAATAAACAGGTGAACACAAATGAGAAGGAGGATCTCATTAATGCACCTCATTCGTTTGTGATACATCGTGGTTTACCTGGTGGACACATCGTCGAGTTGACTAAGGATTTCCGCAAGGTGATGGAACCATTTACTGCTGTATCGTTAAAGGCTAGAAGAAGAAATACGATTAAAGACTTTGTATCGGTTTCTGGTGTACTTCACGTCAGCCACATGTGTATCTTTACAAGAACCGAACTCGGAATGTATCTTAAATTATGTCGGTGAGTAAATTACTTCTGTTTCTGTTTAAAATTTTGTACAAAATTTCTGTCATTTGATTCTGTAACTCATCTATCTTAATAATGGTCTTTTAATTCATTTTTATCTACAGAGTACCAAGAGGACCAACATTGTCATTCAAAATAACTAGCTTCTCCTTGGCAAGGGATGTAGTTTCAGCGTTAAAGAAACAATTAGTCTCTGAAGAAGCATTTAAGAGTTCTCCTCTTATCATTCTAAATAACTTTAGCGGAGAGGGCATGCAAATGAAGCTCATGGCTTCCATGTTTCAAAATATGTTCCCTACCATTAACTTAACCAAAGTAAGTGCTCTGATATACCGCCGTTACTAGGACTTGAACTTACAGTAATTACTCCTACAGGTTAATCTCAGTACAATTCGTCGTTGTGTATGCTTGAATTATAACGTAACGTCCAAGTTAATTGACTTCAGACATTATGCCATCAAAGTAGTACCGGCAGGCCTGTCGAGAGGAGTAAAAAAAATAGTGCAAGCAAAGATACCAAATCTCTCAAGGTGTGAGGACTTTTCCGAGTTTCTTACGAAGGAAACTATGTCTGAAAGCGAAGCAGAGGATGACCCAACAAATCAAGTCACTCTACCACAAAATTTGTCTTCGAGAGGAAACAATGCACAAAGTGTTAGTGCAATTAGGCTTTTTGAACTTGGGCCCAGGATAACGATGCAGGTAATGGTTTCGCCTCCGAAGCTTTTAACTACATATTTTTATAATTATCACCACTTTTAACGTACTATTTTGTTAGTTAATGAAAGTGGAAGACGGATTGTTGGATGGAGAAGTGCTTTTCCATGAGTTGGTGCACAAGACTGACGAAGAAAAGCTTCGAATACAGAAACGACGGGAACTGAGGAGAAAGCTGAAGGAGAAAAAACAAATGGAAGCTGAAAAGAATAGGCAAGACAAGGATATAAAGAAAGAGCAAGATAAGGAACGGTCGCTCAAGGGAATGCAGAAGAGAAAGGAGAACGATGTTTTAATGCAGAAATTAGCAAAAGAAGCTAACGAAGAGAATAATGTCGAAGACGACGATGTCCAATATTACAGGGAAGAAGTTGGACAAGAACCTGACAAAGGTAGGCTTCGTCACTTTAATTCTACCACAATCTACAAGTCTATGCAAACGGTCAATGATTTTTATAACATTCACTATTCTTGCACAATGGAAATACATTCTCTTTTACAGATTTATTTAGCAGAAGTTCGGGGAAGAAGAGACCACTAAACTATGCACCCAGGTATAAATCTAAGAAGACAAAGATTAGTAAAGATAAGTAGCACTGGGTTTGACTTTTAATCTTACTATATATATACATTTATATATTTAAATAATAAAAGATGAATTTAAGAGAACATTTGGTGTTGTAATTTTCATTATCAAAACTGTGTAACAAGTAAGAAATAAATCGGCATTAAAAAAAAAAGCCCCATGCTATCACCATCAAAAGTACGTGAGCCGCCAACGGCGGCTAGTAGATGGCACAGCCATCACGAGTGCATGAGCACCTACCAGAAATTCGTTGCGCGGCCCTTGGGGGCAAAAAACGGTGAAATCAAACGTACGGAACCCTCATGCAGCGAATCTGTGTGAGTGCGATCGCTCCTAGAAATCTTAGCGCGTCCCAACCAGTCAAGCGCCAAGCTACGGGTCGAGATGTTGAGTATGTGTGCGTTTGGCGCTACACTCGACGAGTATGCGTGAGAGTCGAATACTGCGAAAATCCTCCCGAGGCTTACCTAACCCCGGATATAAGCCGAATCATTTCGCGTATGATTTTTTTTACATTTCCCTACTAGCGTTATCGAGGGTTTTCGAGTGTATTCGAGCATTATCGAGCGTTCTTCGAGCGGTTTCAAGCGTTTTCGAGCGTTTTCGACGGTTTTCGAGCGTTTTTCGAGCGTTTCTCGAGCGTTTCTCGATAATTTTCAGAGCAATTTCGAGCGTCTTCAAGCGTTATTGAGCGTTTTTCGACCGTTTTTGAACGTTTTCGAGCGTTTCTCGATCATTTTCAGAGCGCTTTCGAGCGTTTTAGACTGTTTTTTAGGGTTACCGAGCGTTTTTCAACCGTTTTCGAGTGTTTTTAGTGTATTCGAGCGTTATTAGAGACTTTTGGAGCGTTATGGAGCGTTTTCCGAGCGTTTTCGAACGTTATCGAGCGTTTCTCAAGCGTTTTTGAGCGTTATCGATCGTTTTTCGAGCGTTCCTCGGTCATTTTCAGAGCATTATCAAGCGTTGTCGAGCATTATCGATTCATTTTCGCGCGTTTTTCAAGTGTTTTCGACCCTTATCGAAGGCCGTACAGTGCAGTTGCGTGTTGTTAAGCGCAGTAGAGTGCCGGAGAGTTGTCGCAGAGGGCCGGAGAGTGCCAGAAAGTTGCCAGGGAATTCGGAGAATTGCCGCAGAGTGCCGAAGAGTGTCGGAGAGTGCCGCAGAGTGCCGGAGGGTGCCAGAGAGTGCCGCAGAGGGCCGGAGAGTTGCCGCAGAGTGCCGGAGAGTGCCGGAGAATGCCGGAAAGTTGCCGCAGAGTGCCGAAAAGTGTCGGAGAGTGCCGCAGAGTGCCGGTCAGTTGCCGCAGAGTGCCGGAGAGTGCCGCAGAGTGCTGAAGAGTGTCGGAGAGTGCCGCAGAGGGCCGGAGAGTTGCCGCAGAGTGCCGGAGAGTGCCGCAGAATGCCGGAGAGTTGCCGCAGAGTGCCGAAGAGTGTCGGAGAGTGCCGCAGAGTGCCGGAGAGTTGCCGCAGAGTGCCGAAGAGTGTCGGAGAGTGC